ACTAGACTGAAGAACAAAAGGACAGCAACTTGTCTGTTCCCCTTCCCCCAATTCCCCAGCACTGTTCCCATCCCCCCAATTACCCAATAAAAATCTTAAAAACAAAACAAAACAAAAAAAACCTACATTTGAAGTGGATCAATTATTCAATATTTAAACAATAAGTGGTGAAATCAACTACAATGTGATAGTAGTAGCAATTTCCACCATTTTGTAATGGAATTTATATGACAGATACTACTCTCCAAGTGATCTAAAGAGCAGTTCTCTAAAACTATTTCTAACAAATAAATGTAGGGAAGACTTTAAAAGGATAGGTTGTGAAATTATCAGTGGGCTGAAAACCAATTTCAACCACTTACTAGCTGTGTAGCATTGGACAAGTTACCCTCTCTAAAAGGTCAGTTTTTTCATCAGTAGATTTCATGAGGTTGTTAATACCTAACCATCAGCATTGTTAATTGAATGAAAAATGTGTCTTCAGATTTTAGGATCTATACATGTTCAATAAATGGTAGCTATTATTGTTGTAATATAAACATATTTACAAAAGCAACCTGAACCCATGCTTTGCTAGATAATCTTTGTAGCAACACAACATATAAGTGGGTAATGCCTGGAACATTTTTATATTCTTTACATAAACTGGGATAATTGCCAACCAGTTCATGACGGGCCATCAGTCAGAAGAAATTGAAGCTATTGCATGGAACATGCTGTTTTACAGCCTCATTAGAAGACAAATTGAGTAGGATCCTAGGTTTTAGTTGTTGACATTCCAATGAGATTTTAGGACTTAGAATTCTAATAAGGGATGTTTATATAAACATATATATTTAAAATCCCTAACTATTGTTTTTCTCTATTAATTACTTCTTTTTCAAATTGCTTTTTATTCTAAACTTGAAGAGAGAACCATATTCTGAGAAAAATGATTTTGTTTCAATCTTAATGAATAATAAAGCAGTATGTACTCATTTCCTCCATGAATCGTTTTGACTCAGATATTTTGGACCCATCAACAGTCTGGATTTTCTGATTTTTAGGACAAATGTGATCTGTTTTTAAAGCATGTTTTATTTGCAAAGTATAAATACATAAGCTCTACTCCATGTAGGGATTTTTAAAAATGATTGAAAAGGAAGCCAACCCAAATAAACCTACTAGTGGTCCGCCGTGCTGAAGAGGCAATAGAACTGTTGAGAGAGAAGGAGTTCTCATCCCTGTCTCCTGACACACCTCGGCGAGGAGGGAGAATGGAGGAGGGTCTCGGCAGAGAAGAGCGCTTTTCTGGGCTCTTGGTTACTCCATCCTGATTGGGGAAAACAAAAGCACATTGGGTTCTTGTGAATCTTTATTTTAATAATACAAATCGATTACATTGTTCTGGCTCTTATTACTCTTGTGCTGATAGAATTTCTTCTAATACACACTACTGAATTTCACATGCTTAAAAGCATTTCCACTTTAAAACTCAGAAAGAATTCATAGTTGCCTAGAGGTTTTATAAAAATATATTATTTTGGAGTTAGTGTTAGTGATTGATTGTGAATTCCAATTCTAAATAAAATAGGTAAAATGAATACACTCATGCAAGTTTCAGTAAATTAGTAATTTTACTAAAAAAATCTCCATTAGCGTGATAATTTATTAATCAGAAAGGACTGGCAGTATGACACCACATGCATAATATTCCTAACATATCTTGTGCATTTATGTGACAGGTAATCTAAACACCTTACATCTACTTAGGATTTAATTCTTACCACAAAATACCACAAAATAGCATTTTATAGCTAAGGAAACAGATTTAATCAGTTTATGTGACTTTTTTCAAGATCGCCATGCTGGTAGGTGGCAGAGGTTAGTATTAAATCTTGGTGTGTCTGATGCCAAGTCCAAATCATCTACAATGTTATATATAATATGCTATATGTAGTGTTATATTTAATATATTTTGTTTGTATTTGAAGTTTTATTAAATACCAAATAAATTAATAATAGATGGTAAACCAAAAAAAAAGACATTTTCTATTTGTTTTATTGGTTAGACTGTTTATAGCTTTTGTGAAGTTTTTAATTTGCGTTTGTTTTTCTTAAGGTCTATTGTTTATATGTCTAACATTTTAGAATTTAAAGTCTTTGTTTTCATACATGTACGTTATAACCTTTCCCCAAATGATATTCCTTTCTGTGCCTCTGATTGACTTGCTGCCTTACCTTGTTCCCTGATTCTGAGTATGGCAAACGGTCTGTGGAGCCCGCTGAGGTGGGCTGTGTTAAAAAACTGTCAGACAAGGTAGCCCTTTTTGTCAGACTAGGGCAGGCTGAGCTGCTTCTTGGGGACTTTGTGTTACCCTGTAAGGCAGGAATCTTTGACAAGGTAGAGTTCTAGCCATGAAAGAAAACAAACAAAAGCACAAAATAAACCGAACTATGAAGTAAAAGGAAAATTTAAAAAATGTATAAACATATAAAAAATTAAATGTATACTTTCAATAAGAACACATGATAAATGGTTATAATCAGCGATAGAGATGTATATTTATGGGAGAACGAGATTTGCATTGAATATTGAATACCTCTTTTTGACTTAAAAATACTCATAGATCAGAATATAGGATAAACTATTCTTTATGGATTCTATGTATAAAGTCTGATGAATCCATAGGTCTTACAAGGATGCCATATTTGGAAAATATCTCGAGAGTCTGTTGGAATTGTTCCTGTGATAAACACAGCCCTTAAGATGTATGTAACTGATATCTTGGTCACATTTCAAGAAGTTTAGAACAAGGTATATTTAAAACCTAATTATGTAATTTTTTCAAGTTGAGAAAATATAGTTTCAGGTTATCTACATTGATTTCATCAGAAAATTGCAGTTTATATGCAATGAGTTTGTTTTATGAGTAAAATGCATACTGGAGATGAATTATACCATAAAATTCATAACATTTTTATACATAGACTACAGTTTGTAAGACATGTTATAAATTCTAAAAATGAAAGTCAGCACTGAAGACATTGCTGATAAAAATCACAAGACTTAATTTACAGGTGTTGATAATCCCTGGGGAGCTTGTCAGCAAGTTTAAGTAAGTGGGTTGGATGTGTATGGCTTTTGGAGAAAGCTATGCTCACATGCCACAGTCTCACGGGAGATGCTATTAAAAATACAGACAAGTATGACAAAGCCAAGGAGATTTTATCTGCAAATAATTAATCTGACTTAGCTGTTACAAAAATAGCAGTTAAGGCTAAGGTTTTTTATTTCAAGTTTTAATTTCCTTAGCCACTTTAACAGAGGCATTAAGTATTCACATAATGCACAAGTCACTTCTTATTTTACAGACCCAACACCTTGTGTGGGAACTGTTAACTGGGTCAGCCGAAAGACATTTTTTTTTTTTGATTGATGCTACCCACAAAACAGTGAATTTCAAAAGTGTGATAGAGGCAAGAAAAACGGAGCAATTGCATTGCGTCAAATTATAAAAGACAGCTATTAATTCTATGCTAAAAACAAAATGAAACAAACACACACAAATCCAAATAAAATGAAGAATTATAGGTTAGGTTCACAATAAAGATCAATTGAAAAATCAGATAACTGTTCTGATGGATGTACTATCAGAGATAAACAAAAGTTAATCTTAGGGTTTTAGGAAACTTAGGAAGAGAATGAGGATACAAGGAAGGGAAAAGAAAGGATGTTAAATGAGAAAAAGTTAGAAAGAATGGTGGTCTAATCTTCAGAAAGATGAGATAGGCCATTTACAAAGAAAAAAGTTTTGTGTGAAAGAATGTATATGGTTTCTATCTTAAGTGTAAGCATTGAATGCCAATTGCTGTTGAGTTATTCAAAGATCAAGGGACTTGAAAATTTTCTAAAGGCTTTTCAAACAATGTACATTTGAAACTTCTGTCCTAAAAGGGAAAAGCTCAAATTTACTTTCTATATTTGCTCCTAATGGTTTCCACCTTTCAAATAATAGCAACAACCATCACTGTTTATTGAATAAATACTATGTTCTAGGCATTACACAGTGTACTATTTTATAAAATTTCTACACTTAATGTTCACAACAAACTTATGATATAGGAATTCTAACTCCTCCCCTTATTTTTGGAAAATTAAGACACAGGAAGAAAAATATAGCTAATAAGTGTTTCAGGCTTGGATCTGGTCTGTTTTATAACCCTGCTCTTAAAACACCACAGCTCATGATTTCTTCATCAGAAACAGAAGGTACAGAGATACAATTCTTGTAATCACAGTGTTTTCAAAATAAAGACTAAAATTTACTAAAGCAATAAATGGATTTTATTGCTTGCTATATATTCAAGAACATATCTGAAAATATTTATATAAAAATCAAATATATATATAATATATATAAATATATATATATTATATATATATATATTTATATATATAATATATATATTTATATATATATGTTATATGTGTGTGTTTTTATCAACAAAAAGACCCTTGGGTTCAAGATGATATAAAAGGTCTGGTTGTTATTAGAAATGAATTCCTATTTTTCGCAATAAATAAAACCTTACTAGTTTTTTAAAAGCTAAACAAAGAATTGTAATTTACATATCATACATGATGGCTGAGACCTAGAAAGTTGTGATATGCTACTAATTAACATTATTCAATTATTTGTTGTTATTTTAGGATTTCATTGATAGTCTTTTGATTTTTTTCTCTTTCAATAAGGAGAAAACTATTTCATGTTGGCTTTGGTCTTTTGAAAGTTTAAAAAATATGGTTAATAATATAAAAAACAAAATTCACAAAAGAAGTATAAAAGATTTAAAAACATGAAGTTAAATATTATATTATTATTATTATTATTATTTTTCAAGCCACATGCTGAGCTTGTTTTTTTGTTTATGGTATTGTGAGAATTTACTTTATTTTAGCTGTTCTAATAGCTATGTATGAATATTTCATCATGTTTTTTAAATTAAATTTATTGGGGGTGACATTGTTTAGTAAAATTACATGTTTCAAGTGTACAATTCTATAATACATCATCTATATTGCATTGTGTGCTCACCACCAGTGTCATAGTGGTTACCAGTGGGTAAGGGGAGATGAAGGGTGGTAGAAGAGGATAAAAGGGGTCAAACGTATGGTGGCGGAAGCTAAATATCATTAATAAAACCAAATTAGAACAGTAAGATATTTCAAATTCACTAGTAAATGTAGGAAATGCCTAGAAATGCCTAGTAACAATAAGAAACATGGGCACTCTCATGTAAAGCTGGAGGACATAGAAGTCAGTAGAATTTTAGTGGAGGACAATTTGACGATATGAAGCAAAAACTTTAAATATGGACTTTCTTCTTGAAACAACAATTTTACTAGTAGGAAATTATCCTAAGAAAATACATACTGATAGATTTAGCCAAAAAGATTCTACAGTAATATTGCTAAAATAATAATAGTTTGAATGTGAAACAATAGGGAATTGATTAAGTATATCATGGTAAATAAATAAAATGCAATATTATGTAGTCATTAAAATGATGTACAAGAATGTTTAACTACATGGAAATCTGTTTACTGTTCAATTAAAAAACTGATACAGTGTTTCCATTTTTGCTTGTATTAAACCTATAAATGTATAGAAAAAAATAAAGATTTTACATCAAAATGGTAACTGTAGTTATTTGTAGATAGAGGATTATAATATGTTTTTACTCATTTTTGTTCATCTACATTTCATTTTCTTATTTTGTAAAAACAAATATGCGTTACAAAATATAGTTTTGTGTTGATTATAATGCTTTATCTTGAATCTATGAAAAGTAAATAATTGGGCTCCCCCACTTTTGCCAGATCATCTTGCTATTTCACACGTTTTGTTTTACTGATAAAGAAGCCTAAATCCCAGATCAGCTGTCACCAACTACCATCACATGTCATTCCAGGAGACACTAAGATACAGCCAGATGCCACTGAGACTCATTCTGGGTGAGTGAATGATTTAAAATGACATTTAAGAATAAACAACTGAAGTCTAAATTATATCTAAAGTTGTTAAACACTGCCACTAATACAAAAGAGAACTTCAAATGAAGAACAAGGAAAAAGTTATGTTACTCACAGGGACTTTGTCCTTTGCCTGTTTAAACACACTGGAAGCCTGAGTCGATTCACCACCTGCTGCTATAGAAAAGAGAAGACACAAACAAACAACCCCAAACTTAGTGGCTCAAAACCACATACATGCATCTTTCAATACCCTTTGGATTTTCAGTTGTGTCAACAGATTAATGCAAAGCAAAATTTTGCTCAGATTTAAACTCAAATTCAGTAACTGAAGAAACCTGAATACCAACATTATGGCACGTGGCTGCCACTACAGTGCTAATTAATATAATAACGCAGTGTTTACCAAAGCACAGGTACACACACCAAATACTTTTCTATGGGTTACCAATGTAGTTTTAAGTTGTTATTACATGAGGATAGGTCCTTTAGAACGGAAGTCACAGAATAGTACTCTGAATGCTGTGGGGCTGAAGGAAAAGGACTGGTTTCCAGGATTGACATGATACGAAAGCCAGTTCATGGAGATTCTCAAACCCCCTTTTTGTAGCCATTGGCACACCTATACATCGTCTTGCATTTTATATTCCAAACTGTCTTAGTCAGCCAACCCCTTTCCCTCTGCACCCTTCCTTTCACAACGTGAGTGACACATTTGTTTGATGTGAAACACACCACATGAGAAGTGAAGGGAAGAAAAATAGCTTGTCAAAGAAAGAAAACAGGAGAGGAATTTTAAATTCAGCAATATACGACATGTTCTACACATGCACTTACTGTACGAAATTATTACCACATCTGTTACTGCTGTTTCTCTGGCTGTGTTTTACACTTCTGCCTTCAATTTTAGGCTCTGTTATCTCTAGCATATCTTCTGTTGATGACTTACCTGACTTGACTTAAGTATCTCTCATGATTTCCTTTGCGTTTTGGCAAACTGTCTGTATTTAAAAGTTGTGCTTAGAAAATGAAAGACCCGAGCTTGTTTGTTCACTTCCTCCTTAATTTTCTTTCATAAGAGAGAACACCTCAGGGGTAAAAATGCTCATCCTTATAGGCATTTTGAATGAGTTTCAAAAAGGTTCCTTATGCCATCTGCATCTCTGGCACACAAATAATGACTTGTCTACGATATGCTATATGCTATTTAGGAGTGGTTAGTAAGATTATTTACAGATTCTGGACTGATTTTTTGTTGTTGCAGAAGCAGCAGCAGCCGTGCACATGATGTGTCCTTACTATTTCTATAATGTATCTCAAATTTCTGTGACATGGGTAATTTGCTTCAAGCCAATGATACCGATGTTTGTATATGCTTTCTGCCTCAGTATCTTAATATTTGAATGAAATAAGGGAAGATCCCAATTAGTTCAAATATCTTAAATTTTCTTTAATGAATAAATGAAAAAGACAATTTACTCTCAGTGAGGCGAAATGAATGCCAGTGACATGTAGGTACTTCAAACCATTTGACATTTTCTCTGAAATTCTACAATCCTGATATATTCTTTCATTCTTTCAGGTAGGATATAGGATTTTTTTTTTTTTTATGCCCAAACCAAGAGATTCTACCTGCCCAGGCATGTGTCTAACTAGAAGAAAAATTTCAAGTTTAATACAAATGAACTAAGTCAGATATCAGATTTAGATGTCATGTTAATTCTTAACTATAACTTAGGGGAACTCCTCATTCAGAACCTTTAACATCAAGGTTTGTATATAATTATAAGGCTTCCACTTTCAAGTACTGCCTTAAAGACTAATTCTTGAAGGAAAGCACATGAAATGATTCTTAAGTGAAGAACACAAATACAAAATACTTGGGATATTTAGTGGCTATCATAAAATAATCAGTTAATTTGTTTTTCCTTTTCTTATCAAGGTTAATGCTGCTCTTAACATTGAAAACCTTCTGAATATTTATAAAAAAGTCACTTCTTGTGATTAATGGGAAGGAAAATATTCCTCTCTGATTTAACAATCTGATATCTTATTTTGTAGACTGCAAGAATGCCCCTTAATAAACGCTAAAATAAAATATATTGTAAATTAAGATTATCCTAGTATAATTATACATTTAAATAAATACTTATCACTGAAACTTAGGAATAGAGTTTGCATCATAGATACTTGTATGGTTTTTATATGACTTGTAACATGTTTCACTCCTTCATTTCATCACTTTTTCCAACAGCAAAAAACAAGTATATTTGAAGAAGACAAAAAAAAAAAGGTAGTAAAATAGAAATAGATCTAAGTTATAAGAAATTTAGGGGGAAAGAGTTTTATCTTTGAATTTTGAACACTTTGAATTATATAGAAAAATTTAGCAGTTTGGATCCAACCCATTTAAGACAATCCCAAAAATGAAACGTCAAGTATGAGATGTAGTACAATAGATTGAAAGCTTTCATGATTTTGGACATGAGAAATAAAATCTTATGGGATTTCCAGACAATTTCCTTTTTCTTTTCTACTTTTGCTTTCCAAAGCAATTTTGCAACCACTATTTAACCCCTGATGTGCTTTTCATTTTCAATCTCAAAGTCACTGTGCATTCTTGGTGGTTTTCAGAAAGTTCATCAACATCAGTAACAGATCTGGCAGTAACAATACAGAAAATAAGACAAATATGTATGGCTTTAAGCATGAGGGAGATAAATAAACAAAACAATGAGAATGCATACCACGGTTATAGTCATTACCATCGTCTAACACACAGAATGAAAAGAGGAATCCCCAGACCGTGACACTAGAGCACAATGCCAAGATACAATCACTGTTACGTCTGAGCATGACAAAGAAACAGATGGTCATGACCTCTTCTGCAGGGAGGGGGGAAAAACAAAAAGAATAATGATACAAGACACTTAATAGCGAAATTGTTCATGACTGCTGAGATTCTTGGAAGAAAAACAAATGAAGAAGCTACTACAGTAATGAGATTTAAAAAAAAAACCAAAACAACAAAAAACATGTCCATGTTTGCCAGCCACATTGCAGAATTGAACAGTCACCTGTGGTTTTCCGCTTAACACAGGAGAGATGAGTTGGTCTAGTATATTTGATAGCAGGTTTTAAAATGAATTTCCTGGAGGGAGAGTGGGCCTGAACTTCTGTTTTTTTAGCAAGTTCAGCCTTCTTATAAACTGCTATGAATAAAACACAAAAAGCATACCATCAGGAAAAAATGAACAGTTGGAGCACAACCGAACACAATTTCATAAATAGTTACCACTGTTAGGCAGTTTCTTCTACAGAAGAGTAATAATGAATTACTTCAAAGACATTTTTAAAGAAGTGATTGTTAAATGAACCTTTTTTCCTTCTCACTTCATCTCTGGAGACTGTGCTAGGTTCCTTTTTAGCTATTTTTCTTTCAGGAGTGGAAATTCTGCCTCTCCCGGTTTTAAAAGGCTTTTCTTTTCTATGTTTCTCAAGAGATGGTCTCCGAGCCTCCTTCTCAGCTTTCTCCTCTTTAGGAATAGTTTCTAACTGTTCTGTCATGATGCTCCTATCATCATCTGCGGATCAAAGCAAATCATGACAACAAGAACAACAACAAAAACATTAGTAACAAATGTACAAAATCCTTCATCTTTTAACAAAATGCAAAATAAAGAGATAAAGGAATTTTTTAAATGTTTAAAGTGAAAAAAAAATTCCATTAGGTTACTGAATTTTATTGGGGAGCAGAAAATGAAAAAAAAAATGCACACCTTGAGTGTCCACCCAGAGGCTGTCAGCATCCATGATGGAGTCATCAATGGTGGTCTCATCTTTGTAATCATCATAGGTTTCTGTCTTGTATTCTGAGAGCCCAACCTCTTCTCTCTCAGGGGAAGCCGGAGCCTCTGGGGAGCCATCTTCGGGTTCTGCCTGGGCTTCAGCTGCTTCTTCTATTTTGAGCTGTTCTTCACCAGGAGGGGACGGTCTCCTTTCCACCTCAGGCTGCTCTAGGGCTGCAAAACGCACACTGTGGGAACCCGACTCCCCTTCATCAGTTGTGGTTTGCACGACAGTGATGAAATCATCCTCGATCGTCACAACAGACTCAATCACTCCCTTGTGTTCACCTGGGCAGGTCTCCCCAGATTCCCCCCTGACACCTGAGACTCCCAGGTCAGTAATCTGAAGGGTGTCTGAGCGAAAAAGCAGTTTATCATATTCTCCTCGGGCTTCTATCTCTTCTTCCTCACTCTGAGCTTCTGCGGGCTCAGCCCCAGTGGCTGCAAGCAATGGCTCTGTAACCTCAGAGGGTGTGATAGATATACCCGGGGTCTCTTTGCTTTCTTCTTTTGGCAGCTGAATAAATTCCATCTGGACATCTGCTCTCTCATCTGGGGCTAAATCGGCCTCTGAAGCGGCAGGTGCACAAGGTATTTCCACTGATAATTTGACGGTGAGCTCGTCTTGAATTAGAGAAGATTCTGGGGATGTTTCCTTCTTGCCCTCATCAGGCTTCAGGGACTCCATGGTCAGGCTTTCATGCTCACCGCTGGACTCGTAGGACTCTTCTTTGTCTACAGCTTCCTGGTGCACCAAGTCAGGCTTGGCCACCTTCTCCTTGACTTCTGCAGTGTCACTGACTTTGGCGCTTTCTTTTGCGTGGCCAGACTCAACGCCCATAAACACACCTGCGTCCTGAGGTGCTGCAGAGAAGGGAGTGAGAGCCTGTGTAGCCTCGAGTTTAAGCTCTGTTGTCTTTCCAGAATCTATGTTGAGCCCCGAGGCCATCTGTCCAAAGTCACTGACTTTAATATCTAATTGACCTTGGGTAGCTTTCTGGGCACTGAAATCCAGTTCTGGTTGAGCTTTCTTGGGTGGTTCTACCTCAGCTACCTCTGGCACTGAACTAAGACCTTTCTCTGCTTTCTCAGCCATGACAGCTGATGCATCATCCTTTGACGCTGTCAGTTCTTTGGCCAAAGCATGCTCGTAGGTTACTCCTAATCCAAATGTTTCAACGTTATCTTCTGTTTCCTTGGAATATTCTTTTGAATCAGCATGTTCTTCACTCTTTTCTGGTACAGTATCCAGCTTCTCATTAGCTTTCCTCTCCTGATCAAACTCCCTACTCGGTGCTGGTTTGTCACCAGCGACATGTGAGGATGCTTCTTTCTCAGCACTGAACTCATCTTTGACTCTTCCGGCAGCTGCCAGTTTAACTTCAATCAATGAAAGGTCTGTGGCCAAATCTCTTCGCGCTTTATCATCAGTGCCTTCATAAAAGGAACCACTCTCTCCGGATAAATTCTCACTATCTTGAACCGGTGATGGGAGTGGGACTGTATATTTATTGAACACACAGTAGCCCAGGTCTTCAAGCTGACTGTCTGTTTTAACAATGATGTGGTTTTCATCAGCGACAGGGGGCAAGCCAGTACTACTCTCCTCAATCACAGTCTCTGATGGGACTGACTTCCTCCTGGTCACCTCGTCTGCACTCACGGAAGCTAGTCTGGATCTCGTGCCTGCCAGATCTAGCATTTCAGGCAGGTCAGGGGCCATGACAGTACCGTTTTTGTAATAATCTTTGGCTAGGAAAGGCGACTCACACGAGGTTTCGACTTGAGTACTTGGCTCTCCGGTAGCTTTTTCTCCCTCTACTTGCTCTTCTTCCTCTTTGCTTTCTATTGGGAAGCAAGGGGCTTTCTCCAGTGCAGGGGTAGTGGCTGGAAGGTAATCATCCCCTTCGTCCATGCTTCCACTGGTGTTGGTTAGAATATCAGAAGCCAATGGAGAGAGATCATGCCCCCGACCAAAATTAAATCCAAGGGCTATGGAATCCAGGCAAGACATGGGTAAATTGATTGACATGCTTCTTTGTTCTATTGCAGACCTACCACCAAGTCCTAAACTCCTGCTCAGTGTCAAATCGTCCTTATTCTTACTGTGGAGATCCCTTTTCTCCCCATACACTTTTGGATCAATAGTGAACATCCTTTCTTGAGGAGAACTAGGTTCTTCTGGTAAATCAGGTGGATAACTCTTTGCAAGAGTGCTATACCCTGCTTCCTGTGCTGGGACATTGGGCTGGGACTCTTCACCTGCCTGAAGTCCATTGTCACCATTTTTATACATGGGAGATACAGCATTTTGGGCACTTTCTCTTGTGTCACTCAGTTCATAGTAATCACTGCCTGGCTGGATGCTTTTTGTCACTTCTTTCAAGGCAGATGTTTCAAAGTACTTGGACATTCCTGATTTATCTTCGTAAAATGGCATGTCAAGCGCAGCAGATGTTGCAGCCTCAACTCCTTCAACCTTATTATCTTTGTCAGCAACTTTTTCTTCAAAAAGGTCCTCGATCGCACTCTTTTCACTTAGTGTAGCTGGTTCCTTCCTGACTTTCTCCAGTGTCGTAGAGGCCATGGCTGTATTTGTAACTGCTTGCTCTAGGCTTCCAGGGAATGACTCCTGTTTTGATACATTTATGGTAGGCTCTTGACCTTTCTGTTCTTCTTTTGAGAAAGCGTGCTCTGTGGAGGGCTGAATTACACCTGTTTCTTTACCGATCAGTTTGGGGGATTCGCTCTCTTTTGGCATGGTTTCCTTGTCAGAAATGGTTGTTTTTTCTTCAAGCTTTAGCTGAGGTTCCTTTTCAGTAAGTGCAGATTCCTGTCCACTAAGGGCGGACGTCTCTTTTTTCTGCACACTCTCTTGCTTCACTGCTCCTTTTTCTTCTCCTAAAACCTTCTCTGGGACACATTCTTCCACAATTGGAATGTCGCCAAATTTAGGTGAAATCATTGCCTCTGAGTCTGGTGCTTCTGCCATTTTGTCAGGTTTATCCTCAAGGGGCTCTTCAACTTTAAAAATGTCTTTGGCAGTCACTGGGCCACTGGTTTCTCCAAAAAATTTTTTGTTACTTAGTTGTAATAGGGCAGGGGCAAAGGGTGATTTTTCTCCAACTATTTCATTCTTCATGACATCTAAAGGAAGAGTGAAGCTTCCACCCTGAAAGGGACTTGGCATGGGAGAATCAAATTGTTTCCCTTCCCATTTTGGGATATCTTCAAGTACGTCTTTTTTCTTCATGGGTGTTAGGGGGCCAGGAGATATCGGAGCAACTAAACCCCACTCATCCTTTTTTGCTTCCATTGGCATTTCGATGAACCAGTTCTTTTGCTCTTTTGGAGCTGGGGTTTCTGCAGGGAGACCAATACCAGGTACCACTAGGCTTGGTTCTGTCTTCTGTTTCTTGTCTTCTAGGTCGGCACCAAAATCGTGCCCAAACAGAGTGAGTGGTGTTGTTCCTTCTTCTGTGTCTTGCATGTCATTTTTATCAGGGGATGTTTTAGTTGTCTCAGGCTGAGAAACTAAGGCAGCATGTTTAAGATCTTCACCAGGCTTTATGTGTTTCTCTGACTCCTTTTCCTTCTTGTCTAATGGCTCAGCTAAAGAGGGAGTCAATTCCTGTTGATCATGGAACTCCATCTTCGAGGCTGTAAGTAAACCTGAAGTAATTGGGTTGATTTTTAAACAAATAATAGGCAAGTGCTTTCAGGCAGTAAGCTTAAAATTATATTTTGAAATGACAAATGAATGGTAGGGCAAAAAGAAAACTATGGAACATGCACGCATGCTACCCATTTAAAAACCAATATGGAAATGTCAGGATTGAGATATATTTGTACTATTGCTAAAATAGCATATTTTGCTATTAATGCATACAGAAATTGTAATAAGAGTATATTTTGAATATTTTTTCCTTTGTTTGTTTGTTCGGTCTCTCCTAAACAGTATGTGATATGTACTGTAGTAGGAAAAGAATTCCATATGCCTTCTACAGGTAAAAATTATGAATTAAAGAATATTGAATAAGTAGCTGCTATTAGGGTACAAAGAAAATATATAAACTAAAAATGAAAAAGGATTGATTTCTACTAAACTTGCTCATCTATTTTCTCATTTAAAAGTGAATTGGTAGGTCACGGGCAGAAGGTCCATTAATTTATGATAAGCATTAATAGTTTCAATTAGTTTGATTGACAAACACCAGGACTGCTATGCGGGGCACTGAAACGTTACTGACAATTTTTCAGAAGTCGCTGAGATTACATTTCAGAAATATAAATAAATATTTGCTACTGACTTTAGATGTTAAGGCCTAAGAATTGATAAGCCAATTTCTACCACATATTCAAAATTCTTAATTTGTAATCATTACTTAGTCTGTATGACAGATGTAAGACAATCTGAATTATACTGTTAATACTGGGAAGTTCATCTGAGTAACAAAATTTTAAAGAATCAACTATTAAAATATCTTTCTCTCCTTGGTCATGATTTCATTCCCTAGAACACAACCACATGGTGAAGCATTCACCAGTATTGGCTTTAGGGAGGCTTCACAGAAATTAAATGACTCTTTTTTATTTTTATTTGTTCAGCAATCAAAAAGGCCTCCAAGTCTCACTTGTATTTTAAGGTCAAAGGTATTTTATTGTGGTCATTAAAGCTAAATGCAATTATCTAGAAAAGATTTGGGGAAAATAAAGTTTAATCATCTGTCGAGAGCAAGTGCATGGGTCATCATTACCTTATATACGTGTGTGTCCTGTTGTAACAATAGAAAAGAAATACTTCATGAACTTCTAATAAAGATCAGATGAATAAAAACTCAAGAGATATGGGGATGATCAAACGGGTTGGTTGGCTGCCATGGAGAGGAAATGATATGAGAAGCATCAGCAAGGGCTTTTAAGGAAACGGAACCAGTATTCATTGAAGCATAAAAAAATATAGCATATTGCGGTTGCAAACAAAAAGGGTTCTACCATTTAAGCCTCTTTGTGCCCAAATCCAACTCTACGGTTTGAAATAAAAGCATATGAATCGCTGTCCCCCAAATAAAAATAAAAATAAAAATACACATGTATTAGCAATGTGACTGGCAAACATTTGAGATGGGTGGGGGGAGCTCACATAGCATCATCAGCCTGGCTGCAAAGCGTATTGTATCATGGCAAAGGAAAATGAAGACTCAGCTGCAGCACTGGAAAACCAAGCTGCCACACAGCACCTGCGCAAGCCACACTCTGTTCATTGAGCCTAAAACAGTGGTCTTAGGTTCATGACAAGACTCAGCGATGGAAGAGCATTGGAAAGGCATCAATCAGGTTGGTAAGCTGCTGGAGAGGAGATCATTTGCAACAAAACACATGCAAATCCTAAGAAAGACACACCTTCCCTGGCAGAGGAAGGGGATTTTACTTCTGCAGACACCTCCTCGGTGACCTCTTTTACACTTTTCTCCTGCAGGGCCCCTGCTGGGGCACTCTCTTCGGGAACTACTTGGGCCATCGCACTAGACTCCGCTTGGCCCTCACTGAGGCCCTTAGGTAGGTCTGAGGCCTTGGCAGCCCCACACTCTTTCCCAGGAAGAGTGACAGGTTTCTCTTCCTCAGCCATTGGACCCTCTAGCGTTTCTTCTTCTTAGGGATGAAAAAGACGTTGACATCATGACCACAGAACAATGCACAAAACAACAGAAATATTATTCAAGGAACACTTTCAGCTCCATGATAATTGACCTCACGAGAACCTCTTTCACCATTTGGATGAGCAAATGCATATCCTAATGCAAGTTACATTAGTGATTGCTTGGAAAATTATGTATAATCTGCTAATAATGATGCCTTTTAAAAATCTCATTAAAAGGTTGTTTCAAAACTTGAGAGCTGAAAGGGTTGTATTGCTCTATTACCACTTAGTGGGAATGGCAGTAAGCGGCACACATGTGGAAAGCTGGCTGGAAGCAAGAGATGGTGCTGCCGGGTAACAGATGGCTGTGAAAAGATAGATGCATTGATGGACTGAAAAAAACCCCTGAATTTGTTAGACATGTGCTGTTTTCTCCAATGCAAGAAGTCCCTACATATGAATTTCTGATTACTTTATTTAAAACATGCAAACTTCACTAAAGAACTCGGGGAGTAAAAAAAGCTTTGCCTCAAAATAAAATCCCATCAATTACCTTTATTGTTTTATCATGAAGTCCATCAAAAATATTGAAAATAGAATTTATTTAGCATTTCTAAGGTGAAAGGCTGCCTAACTCAATTTACTTTACTTTCACTGAATTATAGGACATTAAAGAATATAAAAACTTTCAAAGCTTTCAAGGAGTAAATAAAATATTTTGTAAAGCAAGGTTCAGGTAAAATTTCAACCTATTTAGAAAAGTCTACCTTTGGAACACAATTGTTATATTACTAAAACCCCTGAAATATTGGTAAGGTAGTTCATCTAGGGTTCTCCTTGACACTGACTAAGAAAGAAAATGTGCATATTGTCTATTAAATCTTATTTCTGCAATCCAAAACAAAACTACCAAAGAAAGATAACTGAGTGGTAACTAAACTGCCAAAATATCCCCCCAAAAGATGTATATCACATGCAAAAATGTTAACAATTAAAATGTAAAAAAGAAACTTATAAAGGCCACGAATTATCTTGTTCATTTGTTTCTCATTTACACTTCAAATGCCAGTAAAATAAATCCAGCTTTATCACTTAAGAAACTAGAGGGAATATATATAAGCGGTTTTATATTCCTGCAAAGGGAAGCTTCTTATAAAATCCCTATGAAACAATTATACACTGTTTAAATGGCCCTGTGAGAAAGACTACAAATAAAAAGGAATTTTCTTTTTTTTTGAGAAATATTAAAACGCTTGGGGATAGGGAGGTGGAAGAGAACTACTCTACTTCATCTATTTCCTCACATTAGCACTCAGACGCTTTCATTTTTGTAATTTAGTTATGTAAGTAACATTTTTAAAATGCTGATTCTAATTTATAAGGCAATTTTTATAATGCCATAGCGTTAGAGATTTTGATTACAGCTAAGAGGCTTTTAATATAGCTGCTTTATTAATGTCACCTTATCGGATGAAGTCTAATCAAGTGAATTTACGTGTTTCCCAAATCTGTCACTTTTTAGCCTTCCATTTTCTCATTTTGTATAAATCATGTTTATTTCCACTATACCTGATCCTTATTCAAAAATCCACGTTTTTTTTCTTAATTGTTTCAAGTTCACACTATTAGAAGAACTTGGTTGCACTCAGTCTAGGGTATATTTCCCAATCAGAGTATCTGGGTCATTGGTGTTCTCTGTTTTCCAAAAGACCTGGGAAGAAGTTAACTATCATGAAGATAGTGGGTAAGCTTACTCCCCATTGCCTTGGAACGATGTGACCTTACATTGAGTATTGTCCCATATAAAATAAACTCTTCACTTAAGCAAGTTACTTTTGCCTATTGAAAATAATCTCTTCACCTAAGCAACAGATTGTTTAGCTCTAATTTTCTTTTCTTTTCAAAACTACCTAGTTAGAATGAGATAAATAGCAGCCCACTGCTCACTTATTTGATCCTCACGGTAGACAATTACACCCTAGGGTTTCCCTTTTTCCTAAGGCTGGAATGGCAAAGGCTTTGGATCATTTCTTTCACGTTAGCCCAGTTCTACTAAAGTGGGCCCAGATTCAGTCACCTGGAGGGGCCTGGGGAGTTTCTGTAGATAATTAAATGATTTGGAGAAGTACATTTATTCTGCCCTAAACAGATTCTTCAATCTTTCTCTCTTAAAGACCTAGCATATTAACATAGCACTAAAAAGAAGGCTAATTCTCCTTAAGTCTGGCCCTAGTAATATATATCCAGGGAAGAAGAAGTTACATTCAGGGTCATCTTCTTTGATTTGGGTAAGAGAATATATTCGTCTCCAAGTGCTTCATTTGCAGGGAGCAGAAAGGAATCATACTTTAATTCTTTTTTGCTTCCTTCCCCTCCCCTCCATGCCTTTTGCTTCCTTTTCAGAAGTAACTAGACAGAAAAAGGAAGTTCTCCCATGTTTCAACTAAGGCTTCTTTTATATAAACTGCTGGGGCAGTTAGATGGATATAAGCTATATAGGGACTTCATTTTCATATGGAAAAAACAGGCTGCTGTCCCTCTCACCCCACACATGAAGGTACACTTAGTGAGATGCAAGTGGTCCAAGCTGCAGGCTGGGGGGGAGGAGCAAAAGGGGACCATGCTTGGTTCACCTTTCTCCTGGCCTAAGTGGGCCTCTGCACTCTGCGCTGGGACACTGGGGAGCACACTAGAGGTGGTCCATTGGGAGCTGAACAAAGGATGCTCATAGTACTCCTCATCGGAATTGGAAGGGTCATCATCAGGCACAGACACCGAGATGGAGGGGGCTAGGAGTCTACGCCTCTCCCCGCTGGTGGCCGTTTCGTGGCTGGGGAACCTGTGTAGAGGGCCCACTTGATCCTCAGCCCCTTCATCTACAAACAGACACACAGGAAGACACTGCAGGGAGAACTGGACAAGACAGACACAAGGTCAGACAGACGAGACAACACCTGCACAAGGACACGAAGGGCCACAGAAGCAGCACAGCAGGATGCGGCGTTAGCAACACCAAGCTGATGAAAGGTGG